CAGGCGAGGCAGCAGATAACATCTACCTATCCACCGTGGCACCCAATGCCAAATGATGGCTGCTAAACGAAATATGTTTGTGGCTGGTATCATATCATCGAGCTGAGCCAGGAATCACTGACATTATAGGGTCACGGTTTGAGCCCTGGGTCTGGGTGTCTCTCGCTTGGTTAATTACAAGGTATTCAGTCAATGAAGAGAAAGCAAATATCAATGGACGTCACTCAATAGAGACGATGAATCTCAATTTCAAGGAGTGGGTTTCACAGCGAGTGTCTCATCAGCACAGTAGAGGGGCACAGGTGGTGCATCAGCCCAGTCATCTCGGTCATCTCAGTCAGTCGACCCGTGGCACCTGCTGGGTCTGCCCCGTGACCTCCTGCCGGCGGGCGTTCGACACTTCACGTGGCAGCCTCAAGGTGCACGTGGCCTGGCACAAGCGTCGTGGTCACGTCACCGCTACTTAGTGGCGAATGGCGGTTGTTGTTGTTGTTGTTTCACCAGCAGCAGAGCCGGGCTCTGCTTTAAACAGAGGCTGGTGAACTGCCCCAGATGTTTATAGGCAAGGGGCAGGTTTCGACATTCAGTGTTTCATCAGCAGCAGAGCCAGACATCGCTCGGTGAACTGCCGGGTCTGCATTGCAGCAAGCAACGCATCAAATTAATCCGGCAAAACGAACACACGTCACATTCGCTTTGGTCCTGTTCGGTAAAGTCACGTAAAAGTATAAAACAACAAAAATTCACGACGTTTCGGGCCACAACACAAGTGGCCTTCACATCAGGTGAAGGGACCAGACTGTCTAGAGGACAGCGCTGGAGTGAGCACGTCACATTAGCCTCTTGGATTCCATGATGATCCCGCACTTTTGTATGCATGCATCTTGAATTTCGTTGGCACCTTGCGTAGCCAACCGTGCTAAAATGTCGGTCTCTGTGGGTCTCTACGGGTCTAGGTGTCGGTGGGTCTCTGTGTGTGATTTTAATGCCCGATAGGATTATGACGCAGACACCAGGGTTGGAGTGGTGGAAGGAATGGGCCAGATCAGCCCACTAAGAATGGGAGGAGGCTGATAGACTTTATGTGCAGCCCATGGGCTTGTAATCATGAACACGCTGTTCTGGCATCGGCGCATTCACACATCATGGATGCACGCTGGGTCCAAGCAAGAGAATCTGCTGGACTATATCATAACGGACCAGTTGATACGGGCCCATGTCCTTGACACCAGGACTTACTGTGGAGCTGATTTGCTCACTGACCATCGACTTATCATCACTAAGATGCGCCTGCAATTAATCTACTCCGGTGGTGGGTGTCCATCTAGGACCCCATTCAAACCCATAGGGGCCTGGTTTCAGCTAGCTGAGGATAGTTGCAAGCAGAAATTTCAACATCGCTTGCAGCTGGGGTTATCATCGTGTACCCTCCTTCTTATGCAGAGGAGAAATGGGCGATCTCGGTGTGACTTTGTGGGTCTCTGAGTCTGCGGGTCTCTGTGTGAGTTTGATAGTGTCTATGTGAGTCTGTGGGTCTCTGAGTCTATGGGTCTCTGTGTGAGTCTGTGGGTGTTTGTGTGAGCCGGTGGGTCTCTGTGTGAGTCTGTGGGTCTCTGTGTGAGTCTGTGGGTCTCTGAGTCTATGGGTCTCTGTGTGAGTCTGTGGGTGTCTGTGTGAGTCTGTAGGTCTCTGCGTGAGTCTGTGGGTCTCTGCGTGAGTTTGTGGGTCTCTGAGCCTGCGGGTCTCTGTGTGTGTCTGATAGTGTCTATGTGAGTCTGTAGGTCTCTGCGTGAGTCTGTGGGTCTCTGCGTGAGTTTGTGGATCTCTGAGTCTGCGAGTCTCTGTGTGAGTCTGTGGGTGTCTGTGTGAGTCTGTGGGTCTCTGCGTGAATTTGTGGGTCTCTGAGTCTGCGGGTCTCTGTTTGAGTCTGATAGTGTCTGTGTAAGTCTGTGGGTCTCCGAGTCTATGGGTCTCTGTGTGAGTCTGTGGGTGTCTGTGTGAGTCTGTGGGTCTCTGAGTCTATGGGTCTCTGTGTGAGTCTGTGGGTGTCTGTGTGAGCCGGTGGGTCTCTGTGTGAGTCTGTGGGTTTCGGTGTGAGTCTGAGGGTTTCCGTGTGAATCTTGGGTCTCTGTCTGAGTCTCTGGGTCTCTGCGTGAGTCTGTGGGTCTCCATGTAACCACTGTGTTCCGGCATGCGCGCGTACCACACAACATCATGGACACACGCCGGGTCCAAGCACCATCATCTGCTGGACTACATAGCCGAACGAAAGAGTGGATGCGGGGTCCATGTCCATGATACCAGATCCTCCCAGTTAGCTGATCTGCCCACTGACCATCGTTGGGTCATCTATAAAGATGCGCCGTCCATTCTTCCACTGTGGTAGTGGGCACACACAAACACCATCTTGTCGTGAAGGATCCCTGACACTTGGAGGTTTTGACCTTCGCACCAAGATGCTCATGGTACACGCCTAAACCGGCATCATTTTCATACCGGTCACAAACCACGGCAGCAGCAGTAGCAGCAGCAGCAGCAGCAGATGATGTTGCGGATGATACCCCGATGCACAAATGGAACATTAAAAAAAAAAACTCTGGGGCAGTAGTGGTGCGACTGTGGTCATCCAGAATGGGAGATCGTAGTACGAGGTTTAGCGACACAATGCCCCGATCCACAAACACGAAGCAGGAGACATCACAGCGAGCGATGGTGATGATGATGATGATGATTCACTACTCCGCTACTGCTCCTGACGTAGCTGTCTGCTGCCTTGACCACCTGAATGTGAAATTGTAGTTGCTGTTTCTGCCATCTATGTCAACCATACGATAGGAAGAAGAGACTCATAGAGACCCATAGAGATCCAGACTCACAGACTCACAGAGACTAAGAGACCCATAGAGACTCACGGACTCACAGAGACTAAGAGACCCATAGAGACTCACAGAATCTAGATTTGAAGTTTTCGTGACTGCAGGGATCCGTATTCTTTGGTTCTTTCGGTAAAGTCATCACGGAGTAGGTATAAAATAAAATAAATTAAATCAAGACGACGTTTCGGGCGCGACACAAGCGTCCGTCATCAGGTGGGACTCACAGAAACTCAGAGACCCGTAGAGACTCACAGAGACCAATAGAGACTCAAAGAGTCTCAGATGACCCATAGAGACTCACAGAGACCCATAGAGACTCAAAGAGTCTCAGATGACCCATAGAGACTCACAGACTCACAGAGACTCAGAGACCCATGGAGACTCACAGAGACCCATAGTGACTCACAGAAACTCAGAGACCCATGGAGACTCACAGACTCACAGAGACCCATAGTGACTCACAGAAACTCAGAGACCCATAGAGACTCTCAGAGACCCCACAGAGACTCAAAGAATCTCAGATGACCCTTAGAGATTCACAGAGATCCCTAGTGACTCATAGACCCATAGTGACTCACAGAAACTCAGAGACCCATAGAGACTCACAGAGACCCCACAGAGACTCAAAGAGTCTCAGATGACCCATAGAGACTCACACACTCACAGAGACCCCTAGTGACTCACAGAAACTCAGAGACCCATAGAGACTCACAGAGACCCACAGAGACTCATAGATACCCCACAGAGACTCGTAGGCACCCAGAGAGACTCACAGAAATCTGTGGAGACTCGGACCCAACGACTCATGTACACCCCAGGCTCAGAGACCCATAGAGATCCCTAGACTCATAGAGACCAATGGAAACGCACAGACTCATAGACTGATGAAGGCATCACGTTGATGCACTACGCTTGCTCCTGATCACGGTTATCTACTGCCTTGACCACCCGAATGTGACATTGTTGCTCTGTCATCTACATCAGCAGCCGTGTGAGTGTATCAGTGTGCACGCACTGTGTATGTATCTGTATGTGTGAGTGTATCAGTGTGCACGTACTGTGTATGTATCTGTATGTGTATCAGTGTGCACGTACTGTGTATGTATCTGTATGTGTATCAGTGTGCACGTACTGTGTATGTATCTGTATGTGTATCAGTGTACACGTACTGTGTATGTATCTGTATGTGTATCAGTGTACACGTACTGTGTATGTATCTGTATGTGTGAGTGTATCAGTGTACACGTACTGTGTATGTATCTGCATGTGTATCAGTGTACACGTACTGTGTATGTATCTGTATGTGTGAGTGTGTCAGTGTACACGTACTGTGTATGTATCTGTATGTGTGAGTGTGTCAGTGTGCACGTACTGTGTATGTATCTGCATGTGTATCAGTGTACACGTACTGTGTATGTATCTGCATGTGTGAGTGTATCAGTGTACACGTACTGTGTATGTATCTGTATGTGTATCAGTGTACACGTACTGTGTATGTATCTGTATGTGTGAGTGTATAAGTGTACACGTACTGTGTATGTATCTGTATGTGTATCAGTGTACACGTACTGTGTATGTATCTGTATGTGTGAGTGTATAAGTGTACACGTACTGTGTATGTATCTGTATGTGTGAGTGTATCAGTGTGCATGTACTATGCATGCATCTGTATGTGTGAGTGTATCAGTGTACACGTACTGTGTATGTATCTGTATGTGTGAGTGTGTCAGTGTGCACGTACTGTGTATGTATCTGTATGTGTGAGTGTGTCAGTGTGCACGTACTATGTATCTATCTGTATGTGTGAGTGTATCAGTGTGCACGTACTGTGTATGTATCTGTATGTGTATCAGTGTACACGTACTGTGTATGTATCTGTATGTGTGAGTGTATCAGTGTGCACGTACTGTGTATGTATCTGTATGTGTGAGTGTATCAGTGTGCATGTACTATGTATGTATCTGCATGTGTATCAGTGTACACGTACTGTGTATGTATCTGTATGTGTATCAGTGTGCACGCACTGTGTATCTATCTGTATGTGTGAGTGTATCAGTGTGCATGTACTATGCATGCATCTGTAAGTATCCGTGCCTCGTGTGTGTCTGATTGTAAATCCCTTACCAGGCGTAAGAGATGCGTTCCCACGTTCGTTTCAGCACCCGGGGTCTCAATGCGAGAGTAGCGGGGAGAGGCGCAGACTCATAAAGGAAGACGCTGGGGATGGGAGGGAGGGGAAGGGAGGGGAGGGGAGGGAGGGGAGGGATGGAGGGGAGAGCGAAGGGAGGAGGGGGGGAGGTAGGAGAGACGCGTGGTGAGGAGGGAGGAGGAGGGATTAGGAGGAGGTGGAGGAGGTGGAGGAGGAGGAAGAGGAGGAGGAGGAGGGTGAGAGGGGGAAGGAGGAGGAGTGGTGAGGAAGGGGGTGGAGGGTGAGAGGGGAGATGAGTGTTGAGGAGGATGATGAGGAGGATGAGGAGGATGAGGAGGATGAGGAGGATGAGGAGGAGTGGCGAATAAGGGTAGGAGAGACCCAAACGCAAAAAAAAAATCTCTGGCTCTGATCACCCACGAAGCGGTCATCATCACCACGATGACTGTGATCATCAGCGCGGTGATCACCATGATCACCATAATCATCATCATCATCGTCGTCGTCGTCCTCTCAGTCAACTGATCGTGCAACATACCGTGTCATGAACCAGGAGAGGGGAGGGATGGGAATGGGAGGAGGTGGAATGAGGTGGGAGATTGAGGAGACGAAAGGGGAGATCACGCCTGTGTGTGTCGAAACTTCTTTCGCGCCGTACGTAGCCAACCGTGCTAATCCGTGGGTCTCTCTGGGTCTGCGTGTCCATGGGGGTCTCTGTGTATGCGTGTGGTATGTTCAACTTCTTTCGCAACGTGCATAGCCAACCGCGCTAGGCGGAGGTGCGGAGCTAAGGGAGAGAGACAGATGGAATTAACTAAAACTTTGTTGAGCCGAATTTCGATTTAAAGCATTCGCGACTTGCAAGGATTCATCTTCTTTGGTTCTTTCGGTGAAGTCACCACCCACGTAGAATGACAGGTTTGCTCCTTTCACCTGAAGGAAGGCCACTTGTGTTGTGGCCGAAACGTCGTGAGAATTTCATCGTGTTATTTTATTTTCATTCAAAGTGACTTTGCACGAGCTAAGCAACGTTCAGCTCGTACAAAGTTTCAGCTCAAGTTTAGCTTCGTAGCTTCCTGTTCAGAAGCGACCTGGCCATCCACCACAGATCATCGCGGTTCGCACGAAAACGGTTTATCGCGTGAAAATCGCAGCAGCAGCAGCAGCAGCAGTCAAAGCACTCTCGAAACGCGTGATGATGTCGGTTCTAAATGTGGAGGTGGGGGGAAAAAAATAAATACCCACGAAGTGACCGCCACGGGGAGAGAGACGCAGACTCCAAATATATTCAGCAAATCGTCAGGGTCGGGATCGATGCCAACGAGACCCTCCGTACACCTGGCGAGGTGGTAAACGGCTCCTCGCCACACCACAAACTCCACATTTTACACACAGCATGTTTCGTCGGGATCGGTGGATCTAACCCACGGACCTCCTGCACACCCAGGCGAGGTAGCTATCATATCCGAGCCAGCGTGGCCAGCCCTCGTTAAGCAAACGGGTGTGGCCGCAAAAGCCCCATGGCGTCTTGGGCGTTAATCCTGGGACTCGAAACTGTCTTGCAAGACCTCTTGCTGATCTCAAAGGTTGCATTGAAAAAAATGTGATACTCCGACTGATGCTCCTGTTGGTTGTGGAGTGGCTCATGTAGCCAGCTGTGGCTCTAGGGTTTGGTGGTACATGTTATTTATGTAGTTTATTGTAAAAAAAAAAAATCGGTCACAGTTCCTATGATCACTGTTACATTGCATGTACGGCTTTATTTTGGTGATTTCGAAAACGTTTTTTTTTGGTTTGGCCGTGTTTTCGTTTGTTGTAGTACGGAGTTAGACTGATGGCCTTAATCTTAGTTGTCTTGTGGTTGTTGTTGTTGTTGTTTGACTTTGCATCCCAATGGGATTTTTACACACAGCGTTGGTGGTGTAACGGTGCTATTTGAGGAATATTTTGATGTTTTTTTCCCTGGATTTTCTGTTTGCACAGTCAACACAAAGTCACTTTAAGATGTTTTTCTTGTTCGTGTTTTTGTTTTTTTGTTTGTTGTGGTGGTACCCGATTCAAGAGCCGAATGGCTCCGTGTGTGACTGTGTGCAAACAGAAAATCCATGGGAAAAAAATATAGCAAAAATATTCCTGAAAAAAGCACCGTTACACCACCAACGCTGCGTGCAAAAAATCCCAGTGGGATGCAAAGTCAAACAACAACAACAACCACAAGAAAACTTAGATTAAGGCCATCAGTCTAACTCCGTACTACAACAACAACAACCACAAGAAAAATAATATTAAGGACATCAGTCTAACTCCGTACTACAACAACCTTAGAATAAGGCCATCAGTCTAACTCTGTACTACAACAACAACCACAAGACAACTTAGAATAAGGCCATCAGTCTAACTCCGTACTACAACAACCACAAGACAACTTAGATTAAGGCCATCAGTCTAACTCCGTACTACAACCACAAGACAACTTAGAATAAGGCCATCAGTCTAACTCCGTACTACAACAACAACAACCACAAGAAAAATAATATTAAGGACATCAGTCTAACTCCGTACTACAACAACCTTAGAATAAGGCCATCAGTCTAACTCTGTACTACAACAACAACCACAAGACAACTTAGAATAAGGCCATCAGTCTAACTCCGTACTACAACAACAACAACCACAAGAAAACTTAGAATAAGGCCATCAGTCTAACTCCGTACTACAACAACAACCACAAGACAACTTAGAATAAGGCCGTCAGTCTAACTCCGTACTACAACAACAACCACAAGACAACTTAGAATAAGGCCATCAGTCTAACTCCGTACTACAACAACAACAACCACAAGAAAACTTAGATTAAGGCCATCAGTCTAACTCCGTACTACAACAACAACAACCACAAGAAAACCTAGATTAAGGCCATCAGTCTAACTCCGTACTACAACAACAACAACCACAAGACAACTTATATTAAGGCCATCAGTCTAACTCCGTACTACAACAACCACAAGAAAACTTAGATTAAGGCCATCAGTCTAACTCCGTACAACAACAACAACCACAAGAAAACCTAGATTAAGGCCGTCAGTCTAACTCCGTACTACAACAACAACAACCACAAGAAAACCTAGATTAAGGCCATCAGTCTAACTCCGTACTACAACAAAACAAACATGGCCAAACCAAAAACCGTGGCGTGAGCAATATAGAAAGATGAGGCGTTTGAGGAGGTAGGAAGACGCGGTGGGTGGAGATGGAGGAGGTGGGGTGGGGTGAGAGACGAGGTAGTGGGGAGGGGGAGAGACGGGGGAGAGAATGGAATGCCGTGTTGGATCGGGCTGGGCTGGGGAGGGTAAATGTGCAGGAAATTGTTGCTTTGTAAGGAGACGTGTACATGTGGCTCGCGAGCAGAGAAAGTGGGTGGGTGGGGGAATGAGTGAGTGAGTTGGTTAGTGGGTGGGTGAGTGAGTGGGTTAGTGGGTGGGGGAGTGAGTGTGTGAGTTGGTTAGTGGGTGAGTGAGTGTGTGGGTGGGTTAGTGGGTGGGTGGGTGAGTGAGTGAGTAAGTGGGTGGGGGAGTAAGTGTGTGAGTTGGTTAGTGGGTGGGTGAGCGAGTGGGTTAGTGGGTGGGTGAGTGTGTGTGTGAGTGGGTTAGTGGGTGGGTGAGTGAGTGGGTTAGTGGGTGGGGGAGTGAGTGTGTGAGTTGTTTCGTGGGTGGATGAGTGAGTGGGTTAGTGGGTGGGTGAGTGTGTGTGTGAGTGGGTTAGTGGGTGGGTGAGTGAGTGGGTTAGTGGGTGGGGGAGTGAGTGTGTGAGTTGGTTAGTGGGTGGGTGAGTGCGTGGGTTAGTGGGTGGGGGAGTGAGTGTGTGAGTTGGTTAGTGGGTGGGTGAGTGAGTGGATTAGTGGGCGGGTGAGTGAGTGTGTGTGTGAGTGGGTAAGTGGGTGGGTGAGTGTGTGGGTGAGCGAGTGAGCAAGTGAATGAGTGGGTGGGGGAGTAAGTTGATGGGTGAGTGAGTGAGTGAGCAAATGAATGGGTGGGTGGGTGAGTGTGTGAGTGAGTGGATGGGGAGTCAGTGAGTGGGTGAGTGAGTTAGTGGGCGAGTTAGTGGATGAGTGAGAGTACGTAGGTGGGTGAGTGTGGGAGTGAGTGGATGAGTGAATTGGTAGGTGAGTGAATGGGCGAGTGAATGAGTGGGTGGGTGAGTGAGTGAGTTAGTTGGTTGGTGAGTGAGTGGGTGAGTGAATGAGTGGGTGCGTGAGCATGGGAGTGAGTGGGTGGGTCAGTGGTGGGTGAGTGTTTGTGTGAGTTGGTTAGTTGTTGGGTGATTGGATGAGTGATTGATTGTTTAAGTAAGTGGATAGGTGTGAGTGAGTTGGTGGAGGAGTGAGTTGGTGAGAAAGTAAGTGGATGGTGGGTGAGTGGGTGGGTGAGTTTGTGAGTGAGTGGGTGAGTGAGTTGGGAGATGATTGTATGGGCGAGTGATTGAGTGGGTGGATGAGTGAGTTGGTGGTTGGGTTAATGGGAAAGTGAATGAGTGGGTGGGTGAATGTGTGTGAGTTGGTTGGTGAGTGAGTGGGTGGGTTAGAGAGTGAGTTGGAGAGTGGGTTAGTGGGTGGGTGAGTGTGTGAGCGAGTGAGTGGGGAAGTGAATGAGTGGGTGAGTGAGTTGGTGGGTGAGTGATTGAGTGGGTAGGTGAATAAGTTGATGGGTGAGTGTGTGTGCGAGTGGGTGGGTGAGTGACTGTGTTAGTGGGTGGGTGAGCGAGTGGGTGGGTTCGTGAGTGGGTGGGTGAGTGAGTGGGTTAGTGGGTGGGTGAGTTAGTGGGTGGGTGAGTGTGTGGGTGGGGGAGTGAGTGGGTGTGCCTGAGAGTGTGAGTTGGTGAGTAGTTGAGTGAGTCAGTTAGTGAGTGGGTGGATGAGTTGGTGAGTGCATGTAGTTGGGGAGTGGTGGCGCAGTGGTTAGTGCTGAACAAACCACAGTAACCATATCACACATCAGTGACCGCGAATATCGTGCCCTGATCCGTGTGTATAAACAACATCGCTGGGAAGACAAATACAGCCGGGTGTGGTCATACCACCGACCTTATAGGTGCTACTCGCTAACAACACTTGCCCCGACAG